ACTAAACCCTAGGACTCGCATCACTAAACCCTAGGACTTCCTGCACTCAACCCTAGGACTCCCTGCACTAAACCCTAGGACTCGCAGCACTAAACCGTAGGACTCCTGGCAATAAACCCTAGGACTCCCTGCACTCAACCCTAGGACTCCTTGCACTAAACCCTAGGACTCCCTGCACTAAACCCTAGGACTCCATGTACTAAACCCTAGGACTCGCAGCACTAAACCCTAGGACTTCCTGCACTCAACCCTAGGACTCCTGGCAATAAACCCTAGGACTCCCTGCACTAAACCCTGGGACTCCATGTACTAAACCCTAGGACTCGCAGCACTAAACCCTAGGACTTCCTGCACTCGACCCTAGGACTCCCTGCACTAAACCCTAGGACTCGCAGCACTAAACCCTAGGACTCCCTGCACTCAACCCTAGGACTTCCTGCACTCAACCCTAGGACTCGCAGCACTAAACCCTAGGACTCCCGACACTCAACCCTAGGACTCCCTGCACTAAACACTAGGACTTGCAGCACTAAACCCTAGGACTCCCTGCACTCCACCCTAGGACTCCCTGCACTAAACCCCAGGACTCCCTGCACTCAACCCTAGGAATCCTTGCACTAAACCCTAGGACTTGCAGCACTTAACCCTAGGACTCCCTGCACTCAACCCTATGACTCCCTGCACTCAACCCTAGAACTCCCTGCACTTAACCCTGAACTCCTTGCACTAAACCCTTTGGTGTGTTCTTTAGCGTTGCAGGCTTAGTCAGTGGCTGGATGGGTGCCCTGCGCACGTATCAAGGGGTTAGATTACCTCCTGTAATTAATGTATACTTAAATGTAGATTTCAACGGCCTTCATGTGCATTTCAAATGTTTAAAATAAACATATATCTTAATAATAAGCTTTTCATTCCAGATATACAATATTTTTAGATTCCAACTTACTCATGAAATGTGTACTCAATGAGAGTGTTTCAGACCCATTAGTTATTTTCCACACGGCATTTAGAAAAACACATAAATGAACAATGCTTCCTTTTTTTAAAAACACATATAAATTCAGGCCGTGGTTTATTAGCCTTTTATAAAATCCCATGAGTACCATAAAGTTCAGGTTTGTAGAATTTTGCATTAAAACTGGTGCCAAAATTCTGTTATTGTCAGACATAGTGGCACTGATTTTTTTCTATTTCCCATCACATTTATGGAACATTCTTTGAAAGTTTTCTTTTGCCTTAGTCAGACTCACACTACATTGAAAACTTCTGACTCACTTCATCAAATCTGATATGAAATGGAAATTGTAAATTACATCCCTTACAGTTACAGTATAATATTGTAAATTATATCCCTTAAAGTATAATATTGTATATCATATCCCTTACAGTATTACATTGTATATAATATCCCTTACAGTATAATATTGTGTACTATATCCCTTACAGTATAACATTGTAAATTATATCCCTTACAGTATAACATTGTATATTATATCCCTTACAATATTTCATTGTATATTATATACCACACAATACTACAATGTAGATTACATTGTATTTTATATCCCTTACACTTTTGCAATAAAGATTATATCCCTTACAGTATATAAACCCTAGGACTTCCTGCACTCGACTTACATTGTATATTATATCCCTTACAGTATTACATTGTATATATTATCCCTTACAGTATAACATTGTATTTTATATCCCTTACAGTATAATATTGTATATTATATCATTTACAGTATTACATTGTATGTTATATCACTTACAGTATTACATTATGTATTATATCCCTTACATTATAACATTGTATACTATTATATCCCTTAAAGTATAATATTGTGTACTATATCCCTTACAGTATAACATTGTATATTATATCCCTTACAGTAGAACATTGTATACTATATCCCTTACAGTATAACATTGTATACTATTATATCCCTTATAGTATAATATTGTATACTATATTCCTTACAGTATAACACTGTATATTAAATCCCTTACAATATTACATTGTATACTATATTCCTTACAGTATAACATTGTATGTTATATCCCTTACAGTATAACATTGTATACTATATCCCTTACAGTATTACATTGTATACTATATCCCTTACAGTATAACATTGTATACTATATCCCTTACAGTATAACGTTGTATACTATTATATCCCTTACAGTATTACATTGTATATTATATCCCTTACAGTATAACATTGTATACTATTATATCCCTTACAGTATAATATTGTATACTATATCCCTTACAGTATTACATTGTATACTAT